TACAGTTTGAAAGCAGCAGGACAATTGCGAGGAAGAAAAAAATGTCTCGCTAACTGAGGCTCAAAAACTGTGAGAAGCTTAAATGGCATTTTGTATCCAATGCTTGATTGGATCTCTGTGTCCCACTTATGGGTACACTGAAGTAGGAAGGGCCCTGAAGGTTCCTTGGGACCTGGAAAGGTTGCAAAGGCTTCCCTAGCAACAAGGGCCCCCCAATTCCTGAACAAACTTAGCTTCAGACTCATGACTTCAGTTCTGCCCTTGCCACAGGACCAGAAAGGATGTATCTAATGGATAATGGCAAATCACACCTTTGGCCAAATTGCTTTGGCTGTAGAGCCTTCAGATAATGGACATCTTAATTTAAGCCTCCTTGTCCTCCTCTGCCTCCCATTCTGCATGTAGAATATTTATGGTAGGTCCAGAAACATAGACATGGAGTCCTAGTTGGTGCATGGGAGCAGGAGAGCATGGCAGGAGGCATCTGAGGGATTCAAGCTGTAACTCTGTGGTGGAAGGCAGAGGAATGATTTAACCTTGTTGTCTCTGGTGACATCTCTCTCAATACACACAGTTGTAATATCCAGAAAAAAAAGGAGCTGTGCTCTCTCCCCCGCCCCCCTCTCTGTTATTCCACCCCATGCAGTATGTGGAATGCTGTAATGGAATTGTAGTGTCTCTTGGAAGTCATCCAAAGATGCATTGCAGGCAGATTAGTTTACAAAAGATTCTGTTGGTTCTAGCTGGGCAGCCACATAAACTTCAGGTGTTTCAAAGAGGATGTGCCCAGAGTAAGAATAATGGCTCAGCTCAGCCAAAGAACAATGCACTGCCTCCAGAGCAGACACCCAGCTCTTGCTGTTTCTGGAAACCAAAGCAATGCCATGAAATAGCTCTGGAAAACCTCTGAAGACAGGAAATTCTAATCCAGCTTAGTTTCTCAAAAGGGTTTGTGGTTATGTGTTTAATGCTTATGCAGATTTGGACATCCCTGCCCCAGAAATAGCAAAAGTTCCCATCCTCTTTTTTTTATATACGAAAACAGTTCTTTTGTACTACGTAATTGACATTCTTGTAAACTGAAAGTATCTCAGTCAACCATCAGAAAGAAATACACCCAGGACTGGGTTTAGCTAGCAGGGTAAAAGCAGAGAAAAACTGGAGGCGGGAGCAGCAGGGAACCTCAAACTAGTTTGAGACGTTTTTACATGTTTTTACATGTTCAACTAGGAATCTGATGAGCTAAAATGCAATGAGTCAGAGAATGCTCTGATTACCCAAGACTTACATGGAAAATCCAATGAATTCTGAGTGGATCACATCTAGGCAGGGGGAGCTGAAGTCACATGTAGCAAGTTCAGACTTGGTGGGTCGCTTAAGAAGCCGGCCAGTGGCCCTGTCAGGCTCAACAGCAATTCTGTGGGGAGCAGCAGCCAAAACAGGACCAAGGCCAGCTCCAAGGCACCTTGCAGGCTAAAACCCTTCCCAAATGGAGGAAGAGAAGCTTGCCTTTTCTGCAGTGGGCTAAAGCTTCTCCATGGGCACAAGCATTGGCTTGTTATGTGCTCAGGATCTTGGTGGAAATCCTCAAATCATCTCAGAAAAATGACATGCCCAACTTTTGCTAAAAATCATCCTAGGGGCTAAGCTGTCCAACCACTTCACAGCTCTCATGCGGAGAAAGTTCCTCATTTCAAATTTGGAATGCCATGAAGTGCCACCTGTTGGGTTTTGTCCTGCCACCCAGAATAAATGCCCCCCCTTCTATGAACTCGCTCAGTCTTGTTCTTTAGGTTATAGGAAGAACCCACTTCCTTTAGCAGTTCTCACTGGGCTTGGCTCCAAGACCTTTGTCATCATCTTTGCTGCCTTCTTCCGTACTCTCCAATTTTCCAGGAGCTTCCTTGTATCACGGCAACCAAAAACGGACATCATATTCCAGATGCAGCTTGACCAGTGAGTAGAATTACCACTTCCAGAGTGACTTTGATTTTTGTTTTTCTGAGCAAAGCTGACATTTTCCCAACCTGTGACTTTTAGAGGATCAGAAATTCTACGCCAGGCAATTGTTCCTGAAGAGGGCACTGCTGGGGGACCAAATAGTCAGTTCTGACATTTTATCAAGCAGAATCGGATCAAGCAGAAGGGAGGAAGGGGAGCAGAAAACCTTGCATGGCTGCATCAAGAGGAGCCTTCAGTCAAAAAAGCCCTTTATGCCCATCTGGGTGCCGATGGAAAGGCAGCGCCCAGGAGGCAGGGCCTGGTGGATGCTTGCCTCCCACAAGCATCCAGTCTCCAATCACAGATACTTGGGGCTGTTGCCATCTTCACAGTAATCCCTGACAGACTCTCCCCTCACTCAAATTAAAGTTCTTTTTTTTAAAAAAAATGGCCAAACATAATCTTTAGCTCCAACTTGCATTTTTGGCATTTAATATGGGACAGGCAGAGCAGAAGAGTGATGGACATGCTAATTTTTCCATGTAGCTAAAGTCTGCTTTTTAGTCTCTTCCCACATCAGCCCTGGAAGATTGAAATATCAATTACAGATCAATTTTCTCCTTAAGTAAACACTAATGCAGGATAAACAGCATTAGGAGATGCAATCGTAGCATTGCTGACTTCAGGACCGACTGCCTGCTGCTCACAGCAAGTTTAAGCTTGGAGATTAATTAACCTGAGGAGATATCACTTAAGGAAGATTTAAGGCGATCAGGTTTGGGAAAATGAAGCAACCAGGCATACTAAGGAGAAGGCAGCGAGTTTCCAGAAAGGAGCAGCAAGCTTTTGATTTCTTCTCCTGTGGCTGAGGCTCTTGTTTTGCTGGCTTTAAAGATTAGCTTCAGAAAGAGGGGCATTCTTCTTTCATAGATAAGCCATGGTAAAGCCACAGGCTCTTAACATAATTCTGGCCCATAATCCGAGGAAATAGGAAAGTGTTTGAAAAGCTCCATGTCAGGACAACTTCTTCTAAAGGAGATATCCAAGGGCTTTGTGGTTTGTTCCCTGTCGAGGACCCAAGTCAATAAGTTTGGCCAAACAGCTAAATTTCCTTATTGATATGAACAAATATCCATAAGGGAAGAGAAACTAGCAGTTAGCATGAACATCCAGGACTTTACACTGGACAATGTTGCTATGTTCTGGTAAATTACCATCAGCCTGTTTTATTGTCCGATTTGCAAACTCAGGAATCCCTTCTCAACCCTTGGAGCTTCAGGAAAGCAGGGACTCAGGCTTTGTGCAATAGACAGGAAATGGTCAACTGCTTGGACATCAACCACAGAGGAGGACTGGCCCAAATGAATATTGACTATCATTGTGGTCAAGTCAACAATGTAATGTTTGGGACTGGAGTCCACAGGAGTTGCATCACAGCTGAGGTCTGCTCCTTAGGATGCACTCAGATATTCTGGGAACACGGAACAGCAACTGAAACCCAAACCTAAAGATGACCCATTTCAAGAAGACTGCAAATATTCGGGTGACATTTAACCAAAAGACAATTCTATAGGAATTGCCTGGGAAAATAGGCTAAGCAGTTAATTATAGATTTTGATCCAATTCAAGCCAGCATGTCTTCAAGAACACCTCTTCCTCTGGAACAAATTAGGAAAGGAACAAGAACACACATCCTGGAGTTTGGCTAGTCTAAAGAAAAGAATAGGGGAGACACGATAGCAGTATTCCAGTATTTGAGTGGCTGCCACAGGGGGGGGGTCATGTTATTCACCAGAGCACCAGAGGGAAGGATGAGAAACAGTGGTTGGAAACAGATCAAAGAGAGAAGCAACCCGGAATTAAGGAGAAACTTCCTAAGAGTGAGGACAATTAACCAGTGGAACAGCTTGCCTCCAGAAACTATGGGCGCTCCATCACTGGAGATTTTTAAGAAGAGATTAGACAGTCACTTGTCTGAGATGGTATAGGCTTGAGCAGGGGGCTGGACTAGAAGACCTCCAAGGTCCCTTCCAGCTCTATTCTATTCTTCTATTCTTCCCATGAGTTCAAGTCACTCAAGGATCAAGCTTAAGAAGGAAAGAGAATTAGCAACTATCCAGCTTTAGATCAGATAGTCCAACTGTTTCTAACCAAATAAATATAGCTGGTTGCCACCTTTTCTATCACGGATCAGCCAATGAGAAGGAAGGGACTGTGACAGAATTAGTGTGCTCAAACCAGATAGTAGATCAAGGGAAAGAACCAAATCCTGAGAGGTTAAGTCCAGATCCCCTTCCTCTTCAGCCTGACACTCAAAAAACTGCAAAATGTAATCAGATGAAACTTCTTTTGACAAAAGACGTTGAGAAAGGCAGGCCGTTTTTCCAGCTGAAAAGAGCAAGATTTCTCCAAAGGAAGAACTCTCTTCTACTGGGTACAATTTTCGTTTTATGGTTTTCATAGGACAGTGAACGATGGGGCCATTAGAGGACCCACTTCGCCTGCCTGCCATCACCAATGTCTGGGGAAGCATCCCTGCCAACTCCAATGCCCGCCCTGAAGGAATCAGGCCTCCCTTTATCTTCTTTTGAAACAAGACAAGAAACCACAGAGACTTCGGGAGAAAATTTCCCCTACCGCTCCACTGGAGAGCATTTCTTCACAATTAATTCAATGGCAAGCTTGAAAATACTACCCACACCCTTGAGGGAGGAACAATAAGAAAGCCCAGAATTCAGAGGGAGCCCTGAACGGGCAGACTTGTGGGAGAAAAGGTCTTTGGGGACAATTGCTGGTCAAGGAAGCAAGGAGGCCGAACTTTAGCTATTCATGAGGTTTTTCAGTGCTGTTGAAATCAGGGGAGTCCCTCAGCTTGAACTTCTGGATAACGGAAGGCCTCAAAGAAGGTCCTGGTGCCAGCACGGCCACCAATGACCATTCAGAAGCAATGGGTATTTGGAAGGGGGCCCAGGAAACCATGGTTAATACCCTCTCAGCTTCATGAAGTGAGCCACAGAGGACAGGGCCAGGAAGAAATAAGCATCAACCGAGGTCATAACTAGTTTTGTAACATTAATTTGTTTTTATTAAGAAGACAGATACTTTATAGTACTTCTTTCTCTTTGTAAAAATGGCATACATGAACCAATACAAAATGTGAATGGGAAGAGATGGTTATGCGTTATCTTACACTGTAACATCATCCATGTACACCTTAAACAGAATCGGCCTAAGGGGGCAAAATGAAAACAAGTCAAAGGGTGAGTCAAGAACAAGCTTATTTGGCATTAACTACGCACCCTTCATTTTCCTCCTCAACTTTCTCTTTTGTTTTGACTTAAGAAAAAGGAAAAGGGGAAAAAAATAAAACCACATCCAAATGACCAACGCCCAAGAAACAAGTTTGTTCTTTCTCAACTCCTAACTCTTTGAATCTAAGCCTGCACAAATCAATAGCTAACAATACATTTCAAACAGTGCACAGTACACTTGCAGGAACAATCCCCTCCCCCTCCTCCTCCTCAAGAGAGCCTCCTTTCCAGGCGATGGAGGATCACCACCCACCCTTCCCTGGTGGGGTTGTTCCTTGCGGTCTCTTCCAAGGTGTGGGATCCAAAAAGTTTGCAATCTACCTGAGACGGAAACACCAATCAAAACACGTGAACCTGAGACATCTCAACAGTATTAAGTCAAAGTTACATCGGGAACACGGCACTACTGTACACTTTCCAAAACAAAGATGAGCCGCTCAGCGAAGAGGATGTGCCAGTTCTGGGATCGGTGGTGGTAAAAAAAAAGCCCCCCTCCGTCTTGAAGCGCGTTCAGAAGCTGTCCATGGCCTGCCTGCCAAGGTGCCCGGCTGGGATTTCCAGCGTTCCGAAGGCTGAGAAACAAGATGGCGTGGCGCAAAACTGGACGGGGGGCAGCCAAAGTCCGGGTTTGGGTTCATGGCTTAAGGATGGCAAGGTGGGGGGAGGGTTGGGCGAGGGAAGATGGGAAGGTTCTTTTAAAAAGGACGGGTTTCGCGTGCCAAATTCTTCAGCAAAAGGTTAACGTCTAAATGTTTCTGCCAATAATTTAAAAATAAATATTTTCAAAAGCCTTTCTTTTAAAAAAAAGTTGACATAAAGAGATGATAGCTTCTCTCTCCCCCCGCCCCGCCATAAATCTTTGCAAGTATATAACAGGATAGCCATACAAATCTATCAGTCCATGTCCTTTAAGTGCTTCCCTGTGAGCCAACTGTGCTTCCCATGTGGATTCTTCCCGGAGAGACCCAGTTTTCTTCGACCAATGTTTCTTAACCTTAGCAACTTTAAGACAAGGTGGACTCCAACTCCCAGAAGTCCTCAGCTAGCACTGCTGGCTGGGGAATTCTGGGAGTTGAAGTCCATTTGTCTTAAAGTTGCTAAGGCTGAGAAACACTGCCCTCGATGACTCTCCCCTTTGGAGCTATGAGATGCCTCCTCCCTCCTCCTCCTCCTGGGCTTTCCGAGAGGGAGGGGCCTGCATTTCCAGCCTTGGGGAAGAAAAGAAAGCTGCTCTCCCAGAGCTCCAGATTTCCAACCATCAAGAAAACTTAGTGTTAGTGATCTCATTGCTATTACCGCCACCAGGCAAAGATTGAGAAATTACGGGTAGGTGGAGGTTAAGCCTGGAGAAGGGAACCAAGTCTCCATTTGGAAGCAGTAGTCAGGGAAAAGGAAAAAGAAAATAACCTCTCTCTCTCTCTCTCTCTCTGTCTTGCACACACCCACTCAGCCTAAAAATTTTGGATTAAGTAAATGAAAAGCTTCTGCGCCAGCCACCTGTGCCTCTGTCCCGGGGACAGAGGCACAGGCGCGTCCAGCCAGGGAGCAAGGCCTGCTTCTCTTCCACGCTCCCCCCCCCCCCGCCTTTTATCCGACAATCACGTCTGAAGACTTGGCAGGCTTTACCCAACCTCTGCCTCGGTGGCTCAGGGTGCCCAATATGGGTCACCTGCAGGGTCTGCGGGCCGAGATCACACCTCTGGGAAGATGGGATAAAACAAGGCCGAAAGAATAAGCAGAACAAAAACAGGGAGGAAAAAATGTATGAAAAAGCAAAAGGGGACAAGTTGGCCGATTCACAGAGTTTTCTGTCTCCAGCAAATTACAGCGATGCTAGGGCAAATTGGGAGCCATTGACGGGACCTTTGGGAACCAAAATAATCGGAGCCAAACTCAACCTTTCCTCCCCCTCGTAGGAGTTGGCTGTGCCTGCTGTCCCCGAAGGATCTGCCCCCATCCATCGCAACCGTTTTGGGGAAGATCCTGGACAAGGCATCTGCAGGCTGACCAGACACCCTGGAGTGGGGAAAAGCACGGAAGGAAAGGAGGTTTGGCTCCCTAGGCACACACTTTGCTCGCAGGGGCTCAGGTGAGCGCTCTTCTGGGCTCGCTCAGAAGCAGAAGCAGCCCAGGCACTCGCTCGTCTTTGCTCACTGGAAACTGGGGCTGCGGCTGCCCCTCCTCCTACAAAGCCTATTGGTCCAAGCTCTCACAACAAGGGATTAGGATGGATGATGGATACACTCAGTTTCAAACAATGAAATCTAAGGTGTGCTGGTTCTCCTTTGATGACACAGTTTCAAACAACAACAACAAAATAGAACCTAGAATCTCAAACAAAAAAAAAAAGAAAAGAAAAGAAGAAGAAATAGTAGAAGAAGAGAAAACCAATGAAACCAAACAGAAGGAGAGTTAAAAAAAAAAAACAAAAAATAACAACCAACCAGCCCAAATCTCTTGCCAAGGGATCCCAGCAGACAATTCCAAGAAAGGCTAGGAAGAAAAAAAAAAAAAGTAAAAACTGTATGAAACTGTAGGTTCTCTCCCCCTCCCTCCTCCCCTCCCTCCAATAAAATAAAAAATAAAACAAGGCACAGAATTTTCTGTAAATGATGGAACTAAATAAATCCAAGCCGAACTTGGCCAGAAAATTAACAACCCAATGATACAGAAGTGTCACACAGCAGAGTGTACTTTACAAAGAACACTTTTCACGTTGGGACTCCTCAACTCCCACACATTTTGCCAGCCATAAATTTAGAAAAGAAAAAGAAAGAAAGAAAAAGAAAAAGAAAGAAAGAAAGACACACAAAGAGACAAATTAAAAAAGCTGTAAGCTGGTAGCAACTTCCAACATCATTGTCTTTATCTTCTTGGAAGGGCCGGGACCTCCCTCGGCCCCGCCGTTGGACATCTCCTGGAACAAGGTGGCTCTAAATGAAGTATTCCTTCTTCTCCTCAGAGTTGTTCTGTCCCCCCTCGGCATTGATGATCGCAGTGTCGGCATCCGCTGCATCGTCAGCTCCTTTGGCTTCATGGGTGAAGTATGTACCTGCACCAAGGAGAGAGGCCTCAGGGACTCTGCCACTCCAGCTCAGCTGGAGTTGGACTCCGGATCGGCTCTCTGGGTCTGTTCCTCCTAGACCTGCTTCCCATCTTATTCCTCATACAAGAGCTTTTGGCTCCTCTACAGACTTGGCTCCAAGATGAGACTGTGTAGGGCACAGATCGGCAACCTGCGGCTCCAGAGCCGCATGCGGCTCTTTGAGCCTTCCCCTGTGGCTCCCAGCCTCCTCTGCCTTTGCAGAGAGAGACAGAGACAGAGAGAGGCAATTGTGCTTCCCTGCTTCTCTCTCTCTCTGTGTGTGTTTGTATATGTGTGTGTGTGTGTGTATATGTGTAAAGGAGAGTGCACTCACAATGTTCTCCGAGGAGCTGAAAAGCTTACTGGGTGGAGCTCTTCCCTTTGCTGCATCTCTGCAGGAAGCAGGAAGCAGGAAGGGCAGGAGAGAGCTAGCTAGCCCAGCTAGGCTGACTCAGGAATTCTGGGAGTTGAAGTCCATGAGTCATAAAAGAGATGAGGTTGCCTGCCTCTGAGCTTGTTGGAGAACAGCTTGAAGCTTGCCAGGTGAGCAGCAGATAGGAGGGGGGGAGAAAGAGAGAGAGAGAAAGAGAGAGGGAGGGAGAGAGAGAGAGAGAGAGAGAGAGAGAGAGGGAGGAAAGAGAGAGAGAGAGAAAGAAAGAAAGAGAGCGGGGGAAGAGGAGTGGCAGACCAAGGGCAGATAGGGAGGGAGAGAGAGAGACAGAGACCCTTTTGACATCTAAAATGAAGATAACACTGCATATATCCTTTTTTTACCTCTGTGTGTGTATGTGTGTGTGTGTGTATGTGTGTATATATATATACATATACATACATATATATATAGATATATATATATACACACACACATACATATACACACACACACACATACATACACACACACACAAACACACACACACCTATAATAAAGGTAAAAAAGGATATATGCAGTGTTATCTTCATTTTAGATATCAAAAGGGTTTTGCGGCTCCCAGTGTTTTGTTTTTGGGGGGAAACTTAAAGTGGCTCTTTAAGTGTTTTGGGTTGCCTACCCCTGGTGTAGGGCCTGCCTGAAGTTATGAACTATCTCTGGGGGGAGGGAAAGCATTTTGAAAAGCTCTTAGCCCTACGAAGCTCCTGCACACATTTCAAGGAATATCTAATATGCAGGGCGACATCTGTTCATCCAATCAAAGTGAGACCTCCAAGTCAGCTGGTTTTGTAGCCTCCATGATCCTTGATTAGTTCAAAGATCCCCAGAAAAATTGGACTGGCCCTATCAATAGACCAATGGCGTAGTTGCTTCAGGCATCTTTAATTTTCTACAAATCCTGAGAGGGAGGACCTCCTACCACTTTTTGCTTCTGGCTACATGGACTTCTGTCCAGTCCTGGGAAGAGCTTTCTTGGATGGGTGGAAAAGTGGGGAAGAAGCTGAAAATATGACCTCCCCCAAGCCCATAAAACAGGCAGGGAGAGGACAGGGGGTGCCCAAGATCCCCTCTGCCCTGATCCCACCTTTGTCCACAAGCGCTCCCCGTGCACTGACCTTTGTGTCTTGCAAAGTACCGCCCCAGGATGATCAGGAGACACAGCATTGCAAAGACCACCACAGCCACGACTCCTCCGATCACTGCATGGTCCACCGCCGTGATGGCGCTCTCTTCTCCTGCTCGAGAATCTGCCACAATTAGAAGATGGTCAGGATGGTCCCTGGCAACCTCAACCACCCTTCCTCGCAGAGGCATGACTTATTTCAAACCAGGGGCATCCAACTTTGGCAACCTTAGGACTTGTGGACTTCAGCTCCCAGAGTTGGGAGTTCCAGTCCACAAGACTCAAATTTTTGCCAAGGTTGGACGCCCGTTTTAGACTAAGAGAATCCCAAATGGGCCCCCGGGAAGTGGCACAGGCTGCTGGGCACTACTGGAACGCTCTGAGAACTAGGAAGTGCTAGCAGAAGAGGAAGCAACTGGAAGCATGGACACATTGTTTGGGGCAGCCTTCTAAATATAGGGAATCCATAACTTTTAGCTGCCGTCCTGCAAGAAAATAACCCCCCCACCCTCAAATGAAGGCCAAATTTCTCTGCAGCAGCAATAGGAAGACAGGATCTGCTACCTTCTCCCCTGTCCAAGGGGGTGGGTGGGTCAACCCAAGCCTCTCTCTGCTCCCCCCTCCCCATTCTTGGAGATTTCAAAATGTGCCCAACCACTTCTGAACTGAAGACAAAAAGCAATCATTGCCTATTGCTTTTATTTTATTTATTTAACATCTTCCCTTGCAATTAATTTGCTTTTACGAGCTGCTCGCTCTTCTACACCCCGCCCCCCCAATGCTTTCTGTCAGAAAAGGAATGACTCACTCAGCTGGAGAGAAACTGCAGTGAACCCCGAGTGAGCGATGGCCACGTAAAATTAATGTATAGCAATGTAAACAATTTTAATTTAGGGACTTGGCTTCAGCAGCCCTCCGAGCAGCTCTAATGGCAACCGAGATTTATAAGGGAGCAAAAAACAATTATTCTCCTGTTGATTAATATATTAACATTTTGGAAAGGAAGCTCAGCCACGGTCGCCGTTCCCCACCTCTTTTTTTATATTATTATTTTTTTGATCGATTTTAACCATGACACCTCCATTAAAATGATTTACTGGCTGTCCCTTACAATTTAAGCACAGCAGCAACCGAAATGGTAAAATTCTTTTAACTTTACATGATTTGTGAAGTCCGATGTGAAGGATTTGCCATTTAAATCTTTCACTACAAGAAGCGCCCGGCCAATAAAGCTCCCCCCTGTCCCCCCCCCCAGGTGCCATAGAGAAATGCATTTTGCCAGGAAGAGCTGGTTGTGCAAATTTCAGCCCATTTTAAAGAAAGATTGATCTCTCCCCTGAGTGGCTCCTCTCGCGGAGGTCTCCGCCTCTAATAATATTTGAAGTTTATTGATCAACTGTGCAGCTCCATGACAGCTCCAGGTAATGGGGCTTCTTGGAGAAGGAGAGTGGCCAGATACGAGGCCTTCAGTTGGGGAAAAGGATTTACAATCCCCACGGATAGCATCAAATCTGCACCATGAGTAAACACTCAAAGAGCTAAGTAAATAACTCCTGGCCGAAAATTGCTGTAAAAGGAAGTTTAGTTAAAAAAAATATAGTTCCAATTAAGAGTCCTCCGGAAACCCCGTTCGATGCTGCCCAGGCAAACTGTCTCCCTGGAATAGGGAGAGCAAAATCCTGGTTGCCCCCAGGGCAGAGAGGAGACAGCTGAGGGCAGCAGCCACCCCCACCTGGAGGGTCCTGACCCTGCCGTGGGTCAACCACCCACCTTCCACCCAGGGCGAGGGAAGAGGAGCCTTGTCTTGAGCAGGGCACCTAAGACGGAGCCCTCTGCAAGTCTCATTTCACATGCCTTAACGAACCCTTGGCATGACTTTAGTCACATCTATGTCAATTGACACAACTCGCAATGGTCCTCTGTCCCAGAGTCCAGAGTGCTGCCTCCGGGGTGAATAGAGGTGTGTCTAGACCAGCGTTTCTCAGCCTGGAGAATTCTGAGAGTTGAAGTCCACCCAACTCAGAGTTGCAAAGATTCAGAAAGATTGATTTTGATTATCCTCCCCTAACCCATAGTGGGAATGGCGTACGGCAGGTTCACTCTGCTCTAGTCTCAGTTCTAATTCAATAAGCAACATCTACAGTTGTGTCATGTCCATCCTCCTCACTTTGGTCAGGCATTCCCCCCCAATTCTACCTGTCAGCTTTGGCTCAGGTGGGAGATAGGAGGACCCGCTGGGACAGAGCAACTGGGTCCCCCTTGGCTGCTTTATTTGGGGGGGGGGAGACTCTGTGCTCTGCTGGGGGTTGCTGAGTGCCCAGAGCCAAGTGGCAGTTGGTCCCAAAGGTGCTTTTTCCAAAAGGCAGCTGGACTTTCTTGTTTTTTTCCCTTTCAAAACAGTTCAATTTATGTTAAGGGGGAACTTAAGGCTCCATTTGCAAACATCAGCTTCTCCCAATTCAATTTCTTAACCCTCATTTGTGAGTGAGGGTTTATGGATGAGGACAGGCTTCAAGGCCTGTAACTGAGTTCCTCACCGAGACCCTGGCCAGCTTAAGGCCCCTGGGGCACATCCGAGGCTGAGAAACATCTATCTGGGTGGACCCCACCTCCAGGATTCACAGGCAGGCATGGCCAGGCTCGGGGGGGGGGGAGGATTCTAGACTTCAATGGAAAATGCAAAGGGGATACTCAGAAGATTTATGGTCAGTTTAAAAACCAATCATTGATGATCTAGTTGGATCAAAAATTAAAACTGGAATGAGCCTCCTTCTGGCAGTGTGTTTGTGTTTGGGCGTGTACACGAGTGCACACACACACACAAAGTTGAATTAGGCTATTTCATTTTATGTGTCACTTTTTGTTGGGGGTATTTTGAGTGTCAAAGAAGATTTATCTGCTGATCAACCTGGCAATTTGGCACTTGGAGTCTCCCCCTGGCTGTCCAGCTGCCTGCTGACATGTCTAACAAAGCACAAAATGGAAGCTGTTCCTTCTTAAGAGGGGACCATCCCCGACTGATGAAATCAAAGTGCCTCCACTGAACAATTGGGGAAAATCCCAGAGTTTCCCGTGTGAAAACTATTATTTGACCTTAAAAATAATTGGCAGCTGAAAAGGGCTGTCCCAGTTAACCTCCTCTCTTAAGAGGAAGACGGAAGCAGAGACACCAGTTCAGAGCTGAGCGGGGAGACTTCCACTGGCAAATTCTGAGAAAATGCCACGTTTCTTGCTAATCCTAATATGTTATTCTTTCTTCCTTAAGGTTTGCTTTTCTCAGCACCAATTCAATTACAGATGCTACAAATCCTTCTGACATTTAATTCCTTCTTGTCAGACAGAGCAGTAAACGTAGATCCATGCACGGCTTTTTCATTAAGATGTTAATATACACCTTAGCCTGCTAGCGTTTCTGTCCAGGTGCCTTCCAGGAGGAAGTATGGGGAACTGGGATAGACTGTGCCCAATGCTCTCTGCCTAGGGGCAAAATGGCAATCAGCAGAGGGAAGGGAATCCCATGCTCTGGAGGGGGGGCGCCTACTCTGTGGGGCAGCAGTCTATGCCATTCACCAACCCCCAAATCATGCAACTTAAGCAACTACTGTGCAATGGGCAGAAAACAAATCTATCCTCAGCATCAGAGCCTTGATTTTGGGGGGCAAACCAGGAGGGCCTCAGAGAACCCCCACTGCAAGCTTCCTCCAAGACCTCTGACTTGGTAGATGGACCATCAGCGGTGATGATGCTGTCTGGTCCTGAGCTGCAGCTCAGAAGAGCCTTGTCCAAAACTAGGAAATAGTCCTCAAAACTGGACAGCATCAACACAACCACTGCTTTGGGACTATGAAAATTGTTCTCATATTTAACTGAGAATTGTTTAAAATCTTGGCTTGGCTTAGTACACTAATTTTATTTTCCGTATTATTGGAATATCTAATGCAGAGAAAAAGCATATACGGAGAATTGTCTTCTGCCAATACAATTGTGATTTCCATAGGAGAGTCTCCGTCACTCAAGGTTGAACTGTGGGGTCTTTGGTGCTCTCTGAGCATGGCTGTTTGCTTGCTGTTGTTTCTTTACCTAACTAGGGAACACCATCAGTGGAAAGGAGGGTGTGTGTGTGTAAAGAATGCGAAGTGAAAACCTCCCTAATTGGGTAATGAAATGTCTGCAAGCAAATAAGTAAGCTTAGAGGACAGGCACCAATGATCCCACCATTGTGATCTGGCCTAAGAAAAGGTTAATTGACAACATTTTAGTGGTAGGCTTTCCATTACAAATTGAAAGTTTTTTTAAGAGAATATTTGTTGTTTTCACACAGACACTCACAAACCCCACTGCATTTCAAAAACTGACATAATTGTAATGACCCAGGCACAAATTTGTACATTTTTAACTATACATTTCCAAACTTTGAAAGTTTAGCAATAATATAAACCATGAGTTATCTCATTTACACCCAGAATTTAAGCTGAGATCTCAGAAACATGTTAGCTCTTCTAAGATTTCAGCTTAGCTGTTCCATTTTCCTCACATTCTACTCCCAAAATTTAGCCCACAAAATTCTGCAAGGATGGGCGAGAGTGTGCTTAGAACTGCCTTGCAGAAGGCCCATTGCCAATGGTGAAATCATCTGAAAATATGTAAACTTTAAGAAATCAACGTTGTTTATGCACAGCCGAATGACAGGTTGCAAAGAATCACCTTTTTGCTAGAGGAATGGGATGGAGGAACTATTATGCAAACCACTTGAGGAAAAAAGCAACTGCAGCTGAATGACTGCTGCTTTCCCCCTCTGTGACCGCTTTCTCCTGTCTGCCCAACTGCCCACACCTCCTTTGGCATTCCCCAATGCTCAAGACCTTTCTCCTTCTCAGAATGAAGCTGGAGCTAGCCACATTCTCAGCCCAAAGAAAATGGAGGACAGGATCTCCTTGCTTTATGATCACAGGAGACAAGAGAAGGTTCTCCTAATGAGAGCTATTAAGAGCAGGCCGGGAGCACACTGGCACCTCTAGCATCGGACGGGTCATTTTCTGAGCAGGGGGAAGAAGAACAAGGCTGCTCGCAAACTGGGTGCAAAGTGCATCGAGGGCTTCCAACCATCTTTCTTCTCTCTTGCTCCCCATAAGCACCGGCTGCACACAGTTCGGCCATTGCTGTTGATGTGTTGAATACCCAGGGCACAATAGAAGCCGAGCACTTAAGGAGGCCAGGATGTTTTATTGCTGTGATCTACCTCTTGTGCTCCGCAGGGTTTCATTTCCTCCTACTAAGTTATGTAGACCCAGGTATTAAAGGGTTCTCTTTAGGGAACAGGAGGGGCAGCACCAGACCAACCAGCCTGAAGTTCCTCCCAACAGCATTTATGCTGTAAAAGCAAAGGGCTGATGGATGGTTACTGAGTGGGCTCAGCATGGCTGTTAATTGTGGCAAATTTAGATTTAAGGCTCCCTCTTACAGAAGTTTTAGCAGCTCCTGTTGTAAAGGAAGGTTCCAAACTGCCATTCTATTGCACATGTGCCCCCTCCCTCTGGCCTCTCTCTCCAGGCTGCAGGGCTATCCGTCAGCATCGGAGCAAGGGCGTGGCCAGGAGCCATGCTCAGAGGATGGGGCAGTGGCCTCCTTTGCCCCTGCAGAATCACTTGGATTTTCCCATCACTTCACCTCTGAACTGCAGTCACCACCACCGGAAATGCCCAAAGGTGATTTTCTCCCCCTCCCCCCCCAGCAAAATGTGCCGTGCATAATGGAAGCTGGTGGCAAATCAGACTTTCCAGGAAAGGCTGCAATTGAGACAGGGAGGACTCGCCACCTCAGAATTCGGAGAGAACGGAGGGGCCAAGGCACACCCCCAAATGCAGCTCTGGCATTTTTCCTTCCAGCATGACCCAAACACAAACTGCTTCACCTTCACAGCACCATCTCCACCCCAACGAAAGAAGGGGCAGCCTTGCTTCTGGCAAGGCCAAATCTACATTCTTCACTTCCTCTAACGCAGGGGTCTTCAAACTTGGCCCTTTTATGACTTGTGGACTTCAACTCCCAGAGGTCCACAAGTCATAAAAGGGCCAAGTTTGAAGACTCCTGCTCTAACAGCTGCAGATCTCTGATTCTGCCTTATGGCCCTCGGGAACCCCTGTGAGAATTGAGAGGGACGGAAACCACTCCCTTCCTGCAACAGATTAACAAAGCTGGTATCCAATCAAAATTTGCACCAGGGGTTCTCTGGGTTTCTTCAGCAGCCTGACAAAAAGAGACCTAATTCAATCCCTCCATCCCCCTGGAATTCAGAGATGGGCTTCCAGAGATCATCTAGATGGCTTGGAGAAGGAACCTCTGCAGCTCAGGATGGCTGTGGGACTCTGGTCTCCAGAGGAAAGTCTTGCTTTCTCCTGTGGCTCAAAGCTTGATGGATGACATCTAAGGAATGCTTATTCCCATGATAACAATCCAGAAAGGGGATGCGGACCCTCGTGGCTCCCTGATACTATTCATTAGCCCAGTTTATCCCCTCACCTTCTCTAATTTAGTGATGGGCTATTTAAAGCCAGAGATTGTCTTGTAATATAATTGAATTTGGTCTCTAATTTAAGCGAGTGAAATTCAAGGAGTTCATCCTTCCCCAATCAATATGTTCCCCTTCAGTGACCCATTTCAAGATAGCTTCATAAAAAAATGTATTTTGTTTTAATAAATTAAATCACTATGACAGGTGCTCAATTTTTATTGGCTGCTTCTCCAGACATCTCTTTTCCAAAGCCATGCTTGCAATCAATAGTAATTGATTAATCAGCATCCCCTATGAACAAAGGTGCTAATCAGTTTTTGATTAGTTAATCAAACTACACAGGTCCCTTTTGATTGTGCCATGGTCTACAACCTGCAGAAAGGGAAGGAAGCTCTGGGGCTGCATAAACAGGAGCCTGCTTAGTCTCTACAGAAACTGGAAAAGAATGGAAGGATAACCATCTACAAGGCAGGAGAGATGGGAGGCCTTCTTAACCAGGATTTGCAGCTGCTGATTAGAAGATAAAGCACAAAGCAGAACAGGCTGCATTGGGAGGGGCTCCCGCCCTCTGCACTACAGACTCAGGGCAGCCTCCTGTGCAAAGCAAAGGGCAGGCATTAAGGTGGGAGGGGTGTTCTTCTCACCCGCCCCCTTTCCTGGCAGACGGGCCATTTGCTGTAAAGGAATAAAGTCGGGGAGCAATTAATGTGCAGGCTGCTTGTGCAGGCAAGGAACACCGCTCTTCTGTTCCACTAATGGGACAGGCAGCCATGCCAAGCCCCCCCCCCCCCATATGCAGCAACCAGGAGGCTGTGCTCAGGCTCCCTCCCTCCCTCCCTCTTATGCCTTTGACAAAATAATCCACATTTCAAGGGAAAGGCCTTCCAATTAGGAATTAGAACCCCCCCCCCAGCAACAAAGTTCAGAGCACCACTCCCAATTTGTTAGGTAATGTTTCCCCGCCCCTTAAACCTTCTGGCCACTGTGGCTGATGCCCCCATCTTGGGCAAGTGAGGCTGCCCGGCTTCTGGCAACCGGGAAAGGGGAAAGGTTGGCTCGGGGTGGGGTGGGGGGGAAGATGCTTCCTCCAAGTCCAAAGGCCCGCGATGCGGAGGGTCACAACTGCGGGGCGCTGCTGGGAGAAGCGGCCAAATGCAAACAAGGCGTTTAGCAGATGCAGACAGCCACACGGAGGCAGCCCTTACCTGAGAGATCCCCATAGTCCAGCTCTTCGGCAGTATTGGGCAACTGAGTAAAGCCTTACAAATAAAAACAAACTCATTTTTCTCTGAGTTCCACAGGGTAAGAAAAACAAAACACTTAAGAACAGGGGAGGATGACGGTCCCCAAGAAGTAATTTGCCATCTGACTCGAGTCTGCCTGCCAAGGAGGCTCCTCGAACAATTTCTATCAGAGATATGCATGTGTGTGTGTGTGTACATATACATATATAAACACACATGCAGGCAGATCTCTTGCGTCTTTCAAATCTACAAGAAGACCAATACAGTGTCAGGGGGAAAAAAATCTTGGTCTGCTCTATTTGAAAAGCACAAAACATAAAGGGGAACATTCAAAGCCACTCACCCATAAGTACATGCACAAAGTATTTCCCCAACTGGTTTACTGCAAAATTTCCCAAGATAAAGGGGAACCACCCCATTAAATGCTTAACAAATGTGGCATGTTTTTTTTTCCAGGTTTCTGTATACATGTCAGTCTTGTGGCCAGGCTAGTAATAATATTCTCTTAGCGCTGCTGGGCTGTATTTTCAAAACAACAGGTTTATAGTTGGGATGAGTTGGTGTTTTTATGGCAAATGTTTTGGAAAAATCACTGAGGGTCTGTTGCTTAGAAAGTCATCTCAAAGCTGATAAAGTAGGTGTATGTTTTTTTTTGGGGGGGGGGGTCAGAAATTTCCTTCAGCTTTCCTGAAACTACCTTGCTATGAAAACCTGAAGTGTGCATGTTTAGACAGGTGTCCCTTTGCTAGTTGTAAAATGGCTGTTTGATGGGGATGCGTTTCAGCTCAAGGTTATGAGAGGAAGAAGAGCACCGAGGCCTGTCAATCTCCCCTAAGACGATGTGTTTGTCTGGGGACAGAGTCAAGGCCAGGAGAAGAAAAACCCTAGGAGAAGAGAAGGTGGATGATGGAGTCAGTCACCTCCACCTCGGCCTCAGAGAAAGAGGAACATTTTGAGGGCATGTTTTGAGTTGACAAATGACAGGCGACTCTTTTCTGTTTCCTTCCAGTTCTCACCTCTGCCATGTTTAGATTGGTCCTAGGAGACCCTCCCCCCTGACCTGAGGCTGGCTGGCAAAGGCAGCACCATCTCTGCTGCACAATGTGGGCTGTCAGCTGGTTACTTCAATTTTTATTTGGGTGCTTTGCTGGCCATTCAAGTTACAGTTACTGAATTGCAGAGTTAATTTCAACAAAGAGGCCTCCTCCTGGCCACTGAATGTGGTGGGAAGACTAAAGGAGGGCGGCTATCAATTCCACCAGTGGTTTACCTGCCTTTGTGGCCTTGTTTAGAGCCAAATGATCCTGCTTTGGAGCAAACAAGGAGATCCTTGACTTCTTGTGGCTTTGTGCACTGTGGGCAACGTTCACATTCAGGAACTCCTGCTGACCTCAACACTGAGCTGTCATCTTGGAGAGCAGCTTCATAGACGGACACTCTAAACCAGTGGTTCTCAACCTGTGGGTCGGGACCCCATTTGGGGTCGAATGACCATTTCACGGGGGTCACCAAACCATGCTGTCCGCCATTTTTTTCCCTTTTCCCTAGCTGTCCTACTCCCTCTTATTGGTGGCCACACCCACTTGGGGGTCACCACAACATGGGGAACTGTATTATGGGGTCACGGCATTAGAAAGGTTGAGAATCACTGCTCTAAACTGTGATTGTGAAGCGCTCTAGGAGGGTAACCCCAAACTCTTAAGAAGACGCATCAGCCCCAACTGACAAGAGACCCTCCATAACCATTTCCCTTACTGGTGAAATCAGGCCACCTTACAATTCTGGTGTTTGGAGAAAGATCCTTCTAACTTCAGCCTTCGGCACCATTGTGAAATCAGCAGACCTCCCTCCCTGCTGAAGACTATTGTTAGCTCTTACAATGCTGAAGCTCCTGGAAGGGCCGAGGGGCTCTTTGCTTAGACAACTTAGATAGCATCTCCAAGTTCCAACGTCAGAAACTGGCAGACTCTTAATAAGGAGGCCAGTACAAAGAGAACAAGAGTGCTGAAGACTCAAGTGCTTCTGCCTTCACAGGGGCTGTTTCACTGGCAAGAGCAGAGGCGCACTAAACCTTTCAGTTCATCTGTAGGGGTTGGGCAAACCTGGCTCTTAGATGGTCCATTACAACCAGTAACCCCAGTGCTGTCCATCCTACTGGTTCTGGCTTCTAACTAGCTTCTGGCATGAGACTCAGTTTGGGTGAACTAAGCATCAACAGCAACTAGACTTAATCAATTCCCTGCTTAAGAGGAGAAAGCTTTAAGATTAATGAACTATTTAAATCTACATATTTGGAGCAAACTGACTTAAGATCACATTATTTCCAGTTTGTTTTCACCGTCAGATTTTTTTTCTGAGCCATAAAAGGGGGCAAAGCTGCATTTTTTACAAAGCAAAGGAAATGGAATACTTAAACTTTTTTCGCATAAATGTCAACAAATATCTGGACAAATAGTCAAGAGGGATCTTAAAAATGTGTCATACAAATGGCTTTTTTAAAAATTCACTTGATTATTTAAAGTCTTTGTGCTTCGTTTTTATAAGAAAGCATTTGGATACCTTCTGGATAAATGAAAATTAACTTTCCATTGTTGATGGTCCTTTCACCATATGGATTTAAAGAAGTGAAAATCAGCCCAACAGGGAGGGCAACCCTGGAGAACCTGGACTGAAATGAGAGAGTGGTTTTCCTTTTGCAGACCCATATTTGCCCAACATCATTCCTCTTGCTTCCAGAATTGATCTGAGAGCAGCAATCAATTTTCCTTCCTTTAAAAATTTAAACCAAAAATTAAGAAAATATTATCCTGAAATGTGCTTATGACATAAGTCTGCAGAGCTATTAAATAATGCAAATACAGTTATTCAAGTTTCCAGACAGGATATACAACAGCTGGATAACATCTAAATAAAAAAGTGGCCTTGATGGGACACTGCCAGGAGACAAGCCATATGTTTGAACATGAAGGTGCCCTGCTTAGCCTGAATAGAAATTAGCTTTGAATAGCTTTGATAGGAAAAATGCAAATTTTATGGGGCTGGAGGGTTTGATTGGCAGAAATCAAGTGATCACTGAAAAATGATAAATAGAAAATCACTTCTGAGATTTAAAACCACGACTTGGGGCAGCTTATAACTGTATAAGATGCAATGCAAATCAGCATAATGATCAATTAAAGAAGTAATCTATGTCTCGATTTAAACAGGTACTAAAAGTAGAGAATTAAATTTACTGCGTATGGTACCTCTGTTGCTATTTAATTCCTGAAGGCCAGCTGGAGAGCCAAATCTCCACCTGATTCCAGATGGCCAACAGGATGGGAGTCTGAAGTAGAGGAGCTGCTGTGCAGAAGACCGGCTGGGGAGCTCCCTCCTGCTCTACCACCTGGTTGGTGGGGGCTTCTAGCAGACATTCCTTCCCCAAGACACACAGGGCTTTCTAGGTAGTGATTGGCACCTGGAATTGCACTCAAAAGTCTACTACAGTGATGGTGTAACCTGACAAGTGTGACTGACCACTACAAAGCATCTTGGACTAGCTGAAGGGAGGGTTTTTGATGGGGGGTGGCGCCTTCAAGGGCAGCCTCATGTAGAATGAGTTCCATCACCCTAATCTGGAGATCAGAAGGGCATCTCCTTTTTCAGGTAAGACCACAGCTGGTGAACCAGCTGAGGCTCTACCAAAGCTCCCCGCTACATTCTCCACATGCTCTTCAAACCAAGCCACGAAATCAGGAGGATGCCCAGAAGGTAGACCTGCACAACCCATCAAGAGTCAAAAATGCTGCAGTCAGTCAGCCTCCGCATTGCAACAATAGCTCCCTCTTTTTTGGATTGAGTCATGTCCAGGCAAAGTGGGTGCTTGGCCTTACGTATCTAAGGCACTGCAGAGCTGTAGCTCCGCTTAATCTCCACCCCCAGGTGGCCCTAGACAGAATAAGGCAAAATGTCACCTTCATTTCTGAATGAACATGCCCAAAGGAAGTGCAGGAAACCAGGCCTAAGCCATTGCCTTCTAAGCTGATCTGGAAGTTCTTGTCTATAAGCAAGGGCGATATATAACCACCTCAACCCAGAATGAATGATGTTTGTAAAAGGCCACTGTGGATTGTTTCAGTTTATACTCATGTCAATTTGCCAGCTTATGAACTTGACTAAGTCTGGATTCAGCCTTCGGTCTAGAGCAGTGTTTCTCAACCTTGGTGACTTTAAAATGTGTGAAGTCTACACATCTTAAAAGTCATCCAAGCTTGAGAAACATTGCATCTTCCTTTCTGATTGGTGATGCTTGATCTTGCCGCAAAGTTTCTATCTAATCGTATTTGATTGGACAGACAGAGCATCTTTCATCTTTTCTCGCCCTCCCTTTTTTTAATATGGACTTTTTAAAAAAGGATGGTCTATGACGTTATTATGGCCTGTTGTAACTGCTGAATTTTAATGGGTTGGGTTCAAGACTGTTTTCTGCAAAAAAGCCAATTAAGATATTTTTTTTTTACACACGCCCAAACACAATTCACAGCATGAACTTCATTTCCCTGTCTTCTGCTCTTAGTTGGCTCCATCAGCTTGGAGAATGACATGGAGTTTCTTCACTCCCTTGTGGAGATGGGAGTTTTGTACATTTTTTTTTATATAACATATGGTGACTGAGTGGGTGGGGGAAGGTGTGCTGGAACACTAAATGTTAAATGGCCTGGATTTATAGGCTCTGAAGCTTCTACAAGAGGTCAATTAGGAGAGGAGGAAGAAGCTGGGAGGGAGATTCTGGCAGGATCTCCTAAAGGCCATAATTAATGGGCATAATTGAGGGAGAGGATCATATGGCCCTCCAGCACCCCTAACAGGGTTTCTCCACTTTTATGGGGGGGGGGGCCTGCACAGATGCCTGCCTGCCTGGGGTGGGGGAGACTACACCAGGCCTCGCCACAGGGAGCTCTCGAGAGCTCCAGGTCTATTTCCTCTCTTTGTCAACAGTGTCATTGAAATGCAGATTGGGTTTTTAAAAGGGCTCTCCAGTTCTCATGCAGGCACTGGGGGGGGGGGGCTGAGGATAAAGGGCACATGAGCACCATGTGCAGAAAGAAGAAAAACATTCCAGAAGGAGAAAGTGTTGCTGGACCTTTCTAGGAATACTAAGTATGTTCTGGGAAGCGGCTGGAAAAATAAGCCTTTCTCCTTGTTCAATGATTTGGGGAAGTGAATTTATCCAAAAAGGCATCTGGAAGACAAGGGAGAGTTAAGCAGAGAGGAGAGTTCGGAAGGGCAGCTGAGTCCGGAGCACCAGCTGCTGGGAATATGCTTTGACCAGAGTCCTGGCAAGGGAGCCAGACGGGAAGGGGCAGAGACACATACAGAAATCTGGAAGCTTAAAATACTTGGCATTAGGTAGAGGAAGAAGTGAAGCCTTCGTGCTTTAAACTTGCCATGCATTGCTGTGGGTCAGTCCTGTGTTGTGAGGGAGGGTCTGGGGGTGGGTGGGGGTGCAATTCTGCATGCACTCCACAAACGCATTTCTTCTCGGGGACAGGTTCCCCAAAGAGGGAGGGAGGGAGGGGCAGGGCCAAGCAGTTTGCTCAGTTCCAGATACCCTGGAACAGGCACCTTCTGGGACTGGCATCGAATGGGGCCCACTCTGGGAGGAGCCTCCTGGTTCCAGTGGGGGGCCATGCCTGTCATGCATTTCTCCCCATCCACAGACATGCTGAGGCTGATTTGGATACTGGTCAGAACAAAATGGCCATCACACACGAGAAACACCCAGTCCACTTCAGACACACTCCGGCAATGCAAGCTTGGAAGGAGACGGCGAGGAGCTGCAGGGGGAAAGAGCCACCTTTCTAAAGAGGGTCTCAAGGAATTCCCCTCCCCCTTTTTAAGGCAGAAAGCGCAGGATAAATATGTTTGCAAATTGGAGAGTGATGGAACCTTGGCCAATGAGACTCAAAAACAACTGACTGTACCTCAAAACAAAGGCAGCCTTTTCCTGCTCCTTTTCCTTGGATCTGATGTTTGTTTTCTAGGGCAACAATTTACTTTTCAGGATAAAAGTCTCCCAAAGAGGCTTTCAAACAATGTAAATGACTGCAAACCAACATATTATTTGAAGCCAAAACAGAAGATTTCCAGGATCCGTGTCAAGGGGCAGTTGGTGTTCACGGTAAAAGTAAAGGAGTCCCTGTGGAGTTTACTCTGCTAGTCATTGCCGACTTTAGGGGGTGATTGAGTCAGCGCTGTCCAAAGGCATTTCTGCAGTCATGTGCCAGCATGACATCACGGAGTGCCATTACCTTCCCACTGAAGTGGTACATTTATTCAGAATTTCATGCTTTCAAATTGCTAGGTTGGCAGAATCTGGGGCGAGGATGGGAGCTCATCCCTTTGCATGGCATTCAGGTCTCTAACTGGGCTGCTGACTTTCCAGCTGACAAGCCCAGCATCATGGATCCACCTATTTATTTATTAAATTTATATGCCTCCTATCTTACTATCCAGAATGATTCACAACACACACTGAAAATCTCAATACTAGGATTTTCAGATCAGTGCTTCTCTAACTTGTTTTGTTTTATTCTCTTCTTTAACTTTATCTAAAATATTTCTTTGCCATTGTTGAAAAAACAAAGTTGGAAGATTCCTCTTTTGACGGTGGAAGCATAGAAATGGGCTCCAGATGTCTCGTTCCCAGACTTCCCGACTAATCTGGACCTCCCTGTGGCTTACATTACGAGGCACCAGCATCAAATGAGAGGCAATCAGACTGCACAATTTGTGCTGCTGTACATAATGGCAACTCTTCAAGAAATCATGGCTTTCTGTGGAAGAAGCAGCAGGCAGTTATTGGGCAGGCTAAAATAACTCTGAAAGGAATGGGCAATGAAACATCGCACTTTCTCCATAATGCCAAGATAGTCACAAGAGATAGTTGCAAACTCTTATGGAATTTTGTTTTCTGTGGATAAACCTTGAAAAGCTTTGGTCCACCAGTAGATAATTTGGTACTTTCCTGGATTTCCACTCAAACTGTCAGATGCAAACAATCAGAGGCACTCATGGGTAAGGAAAAGTCAGTAACTTCATTGTCTAGCACCTAAGTTACAAGAATCCCACCCGACTGCTTGCCTTCCCCTGGGAAGGACCAGATAAGGCTTCATGGATCTGGGGGGGGGGGAGAGTCAAGCTTATGCTGCTTGTGACTGTGCAAGGACTCAAAGCTAGGCCCTCGCTTGACTTCTCCTTCCAGCTTAGCTAGCAGTTTCCTAATACAAAGCAGGACTAGCTAACTGCAAAAACTGAAGGGACATATTGCTTAAGACTCCAGGCAATCATCATGAATTTTCCTGGTAAAATAAAAGTGGGGACGAGCCCTCATTTAGAAGCAGAGCATAGCTTTGGTGTAGACCAAGGCTAAATTTCAAGATCTCTAATAGCAAATGCACTATTTAGAGGAGTACAGCAACCCTCCTCTGACCAGCCACCTGTATAAAGGCAGCTTCCGATGAAGTCAACAATGAAATTCTGCTGGACCAACTGAAGCACAAACTCCCAAGTCTGATCAGGATTCTTAATCTGTACATAAACCACCTATGTCCTCTTTTATTCTTCCTGACAGTTATTCTAATGACCTGCCAAGCTAAGTGTCTCTTAAGACAGAAGGGGAGCATTTTAAGCCATAAATATAGGGAGGCCTATCTTAACTGAAGCACAGTCAGCTTAATGACATTAAGGTTGTTTCCCCAATGTTTGTTTCACTCTGGCTAAGACCCCAATAGTCATCCCACTTTGAAAATTGACACCCGGATGAGGAAGCTGTCCAAGGATCAATGCAGCAGCAGAACGAGAAAGAGAGGTGTCTGGCTTATCGGTCCTGATCCAGGGATGGCAGCACATGTGAGCCAGCCTGCTGTTGAAAGATTCAGGTTATGTTACTGTCATGGGATATGAAAGTTTCACACTTCTCTGGCAGACTTCTGGAACCACCGAGACACGCAGAGAGGATATTAAAAATAGAAGTGGATCCCTGGTGTCTTTTCTGCTCTGATATCCTGATGCTTCTGCAAGGGAGGGGAGCTGGCCGTGTGGAATGCAGTTAAATGGCTGCAGAAGAGACCAACCCGGACCCCATTTCAGGGTCTGAGACCAATCCTTTTGGAAAGGTGGTTTTCCCCTGCCCAGATTTCCTCTCGGCCCCTCCCCGCTCCTCGCCCCCCTTTTCTCCCAGGCTTGCCTTGCCCCTTAGCTCAGCAGGGCGAAAAGAGAGAACAGGAATGCAATACCAACCGTGAACTGCCGGTTCTGTCGCCGCCGTTGTGTCTACGCACGGGAACAGAGTTTGGAGGAAGGGAAGAAACAGGAGGTACAGCATGCAAAAAAGGGAAATGGAAAAAAAATGGAACAGATCATATATGAGAGCAAGCTTTCCAAGAACATTGCGTGACAAGCAATCATAAAATGAAAAGTCAAAGCATTTGAAGTGAGTTGCACTGTTTTAAGAGTCATGCCTTGCGCTTTTAAGCCGGGAGCCTAGAGGACGGGGGACGGGGGGGTTAGAAAGACCCCTGGGCTGCCTGGCTTCCAGAGGCTGGCAAGAACGCTGCTTTCTGGTGGGGCGCATGCAAAGCTGGAGAGACCCCTGCTCCTCCCAGGGAAGCCAAACGAAAGCAGCTCCAGATTGAGACAGTGGGGGGGGGGTGGTCCTCTGAAGGCTTCGTACATTCAAACATTGCCTCTGCAGGTGGGGTCTCCCTCTGTGCTTGACTGCTGGAGGGTCCATGGCCTCCGTCCCCTTCCCCAAGTGCAGGAGTGACAGGAAAAGCCCACTGCTGCCTTCCTGCCACTGGAAATCCAAGGCTGTGGCGGGAGAGAAGCTTTGCCTCCAGCAAGCTATGCAGAGATGATGGAGGGAGACAGCAGAACGAGCGGGTGCCATCTTGGCAGAGGGAGAAGAGAGGGCTTCTTCGAAAACCACCCCCTCCGCTCTCCAACGTTTCACCATTTTCCCATTGCTGTGCTTAGCAAAACGGAGGAGGGCCAGAATTCTAGGTCTGCTTGTTAAAAATGACAGGTCCATATGGACACCCACACATACACGCACCCTTCTCTCAGAGGAGTGGTGGCTCAGCGGAAGATGCTACTGAGAGCCAGGTGGAAGGGGTTCACATAATTGTGAATGTCTCCTGGGGTGTCAAGATCACAAGGAAGCCCTTCACAGGGGGCTTTGTTCCCCAGGGACCAGGCCTCCCTGAAGCCAAAGGGGTCTTTACACCCATCCTCCCGATGGGCCTGTGGCTCTTCTGGGACTCGGTAGAGCCACCCCGAAGACTGCTGGGAATTTGCTCAACATCAGAGTTTTTGAAGAATTACAGCTTATGCCGGAGGTTGCGCTGGTTTGGCCCACCTTGATGGCCGGCCAGCCCATCCTTCTGCTCTCTAAAACCCAGTCCTAAAACATCACAGCAGGAACCGGAAACGGCACGGGCTGTTTCAGCAATACCAAACCCCTCGGTGGGTCTTCGGCAGGATCTCTGCTCTCTCGATGCTGCCCTGTCAGGTGACGTTGTCACCCGACACAATCCTGATTCCCTTGTGCAGATCCAAGGACCTGCTGAGGGATCCCCAGAGGCTTTCTCTAGTCAGCAGAGGCAATGTTGAAATGAAAAAAAGCATGTCTTTTTGCAAAGTGCTGCAACACACAACTGAGCCCACAAACAACCTCCCACTTCAGTAAGCAAGGGCAGGGCGGTGTTTCTCCACCGTTGGCTTTCTGACTGTCCGGGCTCCTTTCCTCTGGCACCCAGGGCTGGACAAAATAAATAAATACCTGAACAACCCCAGTGGGGCAGGTGGGGCAGGACCAGGCAGCATCATACTTACAGATGGAACCTTCTAGTATGTTTTATATTGACAGAAAACCACCTCTTCTGCACAACTGAAAGAGGCATTTGGTCCAAAGTGACATGACTGCAATTCGCCTACAAATTGTCTGAGCCTGCCTTACGTCACAGGCAGGGCCTGAAGGTCTCCAGGAACTGTTCTTACACAAGCAGCTCCAGCCAAGTCAGAGCATCAAAACTACCCCAGGGCAGTGCAAGCAACACAGAGAGCTTGAGGTTGGCCCTTTGTTACCACCAGGGCCTGCCAAGAAGGCCTTCCTAGGAAGAGCACCCTGAGGCTTGTGTGCAGTGCAGAATGGGGACAAGATGGGGTGGTGGTGGCGGTGGTGGCAGGTGGCCCAGCTGAGTCAACCTGAGCTGGGCCTTCTGTTGTGCAATTGGTGGCACCTCCACAAGGAACCCTGCATGCCCTCCTGGGTGGCTGCAGGAGACGCAAGACTCTGCAGGAATCAGGACCTCTGTCTGTGTGCTGGAAAAAGAGGATTGGTTAAGGAGCATGGTTCCGCGCCCACAGTGCAGCTCGCTTTCCCCGTCCAGGGACAAAGCAGGAGACAAACAAACAAAAATGGAACACAAAAGTTTCAAGCGGTTAAGGCGAACAAATATTCCAAGTCAAACAACATTATCTTGGCTGCAGCTGGAATGGCAAAGTTGCGATTAGATGGAGGGGGGATGAGCCACGGTGAGCAGCGGAGTTCGATAAAAAGGGTCCGGCCTCTCCGGGCAAGGCAGCCTCGTGGCTGCTCTCCTACGGCCTTCCTACTTCAACGCTGCCTTTGCCTGCTGAAAGAGGTAGAGGCTCTGGAGGGAGAAACCCATATAAGGCACTTTCCAGCAATGCAAAGGCAACACACCGGATCCCCACTCCCCCACCCCACTCCTTCTAAAGTGCAAAACCCAGCACCCATTTCAGTCTTTGGTAACAGCACCAAGAAACAGATCAAGACCAATTCCAGAGTAATTGCTGGGACTCCACCTAAGGGGGGAGGGGTTCTTCACCCAACTATGCAACACCAAAGTGGAAAATGCTAGAAGGGTCCAGGCCTTTCCGATCACTTCTTTAACTATGTTGTGAAGAGGAAATCCTAACGAGCCCCCTCCCCACCATCACCCCCCCCCCAAGACAGCTTGGCAATATTCATGGGAAACCGTGGAGCTGAACCTGCTCTGCAGCAGAGTTTCATCTATTCAGATGGCTTCTCTCCAACTTAAAATTGTTCACTGAATGTGACAGACTGAGGGTTTAAAAACTAATCCATAAAATTAGTCCACAGTCTCTCGCAGAATGGATTTTTTAAATGAAAATGAAAACCCAAGGACACATTTTTAAATAAATGCCCTAAAAGTTTGTACAGGCAAAGCCTGGTATCGTGAAATTGTGTAGAGGGAGTCCAGGGCGGTCTTGAAAAACTGCCTGGCCTTCAGTTGCCCAGCCCCATTTTCACCCGCCAGCCAGATCGGATCCCAAGAAGCGCTCAAGCCGATGGGGATGGGGCGGGGGGTAGACTCCAGATACAGAGCCAAGTTTCCTTCTCAAGATCTGAGAAGACCAGCACGGCAGAATAAAATAACTTTTGACAATAGGCAGCTTGGGCTTAGATATGAATGTTATTGAATATTTCACTAAGTATTAATGAATCCTACTGGATTTCCTACTGGATTTCTGATCCAAGACCGCAATATGTAGTAGTTTTGTTCTGATCTGGGCAGCACCAGTTCTAGGCATCTCACACAAGATGGAAAATCTGGAGCCCACCCAAGTTTCTTAGAAGCAGAACAGGATGGAACAAGTTTCTGGTATTGTAAAAGGGTGGTTGGAAACCTGCATCCATATTTTTCCTTTGTTCTGAATTACATTTCAGGGAAACTCGAGAATGGCTCAGCTCACACCAGAAGGTGAAAAGACAGAACCGTGCAAGAGATGGAGAGATGAAGAGGAAGAGGGATGGAGGCCGGCAGATCTGCAATCCAAGTCACAAGAGCACATTGAGAGAGTGGTCTGCTTGCACCACCCCGAGACCGGATGTTTTGTAAAAGTAATCAGGATCCGTTTAGGAATTTTGTGTAGCATGGAAAATTATTATTATTATTATTTGAAGCATGGCACCGCACGGAGGACTGTGATTTAATGCTTCACCCTTCTCTGCTCTCCTCCCAGGCTTCCTATCCTAGCAAAATGGAAACCGTCTTGCATCAGCAAGAAAAGCACCTCCGAACCATTGCTTAATCAAAGGTCTCCTGCATAAGCAGCCGTGCAACGAAGCCTTGTTCAGCTCTTTGTTTTTCCCCCAAGTCTAAAGCGCTGTGGATGTCAGGGCGATTTGCATTTGCTGCGCTAAGCAGGGCTTCCCAAGGGAGTCCAGGTGGGTTCCCTTTTGCTGACAGAGCACTGGAGGTCCTTGAAGGTGGAGAGCCTTCTTAGATACACAGGAGCATCCAGGCATGCTGGAGAAGAACCACTCCTTCTGGGCAAATTCTTTTTGGGTCTCCTGGTCTTCGAGAGGCAGGTCAACTGGGAAGCAAAACAAGGAGAACAATTGTGATCAATTGTGGTGAGCATGGAATAACTGGGTTGGGCTGGTCTGTGTAGGTGCTGAAATGTGTGGTTTGGATGTGGGGTCCATGTACAGAAAGTGAAGGAGGACCAAACTGGGGTTCTTCTGGACAGGAGAAGCTTGGGGGCAGCTTACTGTGGAGAAAAGATGAGGCTGAGGGGCTTCCTTGGAAAAGAACCTGGGAGCCAAGAGAGAAGGCAGAGGAGGGCTGGGAAGGTCCAGCGGCCAGTACAGGGGCTGTGCAGGGGGAGAAGGAAGGGCCTGTTCCAGTTTTACCTAATTTCTCCCATCAAATCCCTCCAAAATCCCTCCAAAACCAGAATGACTAATGATGAACTATGGCTGACCCCAACTTTTGGCAGCACTTCTGAGATGCAACATTTGGTTTCAGGTTGGAAACAAAACCTGCACGCCTAGCTCAGCGGCAGAAACTTTGCTGCTTTGGGGGTGGGGATGGGGAGGGCTCCAACTCCTCCCTTTTAATGTGGTTGCAGAGAGGCTGGAAAGGTCAGGCTATCACAGGGACTGCGCTAAATTAACTTGACATTTTACCAGAGGCACAAGAAGCCAAAGGAGAGAAAAAATAACTGGTGACAACTGAGTCTTTTGCCTCAGTCTGAGAAATGGTGCTGGCGACTTCGCTCCATTGTGTACTACGCAATAACAACACTCTCGGAGAAGAGAGAGGAAGTGATGGGCCTTATCCAAAGATTGGTGGGGGGGGGATATTTGGTTATTTCCGAAGTCCCCAAAAAGGTCTCACTTCCTGGGGAGAATCCAGGACATCTAAAGGGAGTCCTTGGCATACGACCGCAATTGGGACTGGGAATTTTCGCTGTGGTCGTTAAGGGATCCGTTCCCCGTGCTACGATCGCATTTTGCCACAGTCGTTGAGCGAATCAGCATGGCTGTTTGCCCCTTTGGGATGATCACCTGGACAACTGGAAGCATGTGGCATTGGATAGAAAGGGACTAACTCCCTAAGCTCCCTTGAGCAGAGCGGCCCACGTTGGGTGGCAGAGCCCGAGACAATCCGAAGGGGAGTTCCTGTTTGGGCCTTCAGTCAATTGCTTCAAGGGGAGGGAAGAGCGGCAGCCGAAGCTTTTAGGCAAGCGTTCATTCTTCCTAGTGAGTCCTGCATGAAATGGGGGTAATTATGCTAATTTCATTTGGAGAATGGTTTCCGTTATATAAACCTTTAGCACAGGAGAAGAATATAGACTCCTGGAGTTTTATGCCGGCACTTAATCACCGGTGTTTGCCTGTGGAGGCTTTTAAGGCTAATGGGTGGCTCGAGTTCCACGGAAATTCATTTCTGCAGCCATTTGACAGGGGATAATACACTCAAGCAAATTTAAGCAGGCCACCCACTCCCTGGCAGAAGAAAGGAGGAGGTCAGCATTTTGTCCTCTAACCTTTCCTCTGTTTGAAGAGAGAGAGAGAGCGCGAGCCCAAGTTAAACCCTAGGCAGGCTATATCAAGGCTTCTGGATAAGATAAATACATACACAGCTTGTCTACTAAGACACGGCAAGGCGGCGAGATCCTATCCATCAAAAGAGGGGATTTGACAAAATTGCTCGAGTGGCAATCTCAGCTTAACTGAGCCTTGGTGCCAGATGGTGTGTTGCAACAAGAGTGCTTGGGGCTGGAAGAAGGAAGGAAGAAGAGGACAAATTCTTGAGATGGGAGCTGCAGGGACTGAAGACTAAGGGGCCTTCTGGGAAGGCTCACAGTGACACATTTTAGGAAAAGAGGAGTGGGTGGGGTGAGTGCTGAAAAGGAAATCCCATGACCAATTACCAATAGAAGATAATATTTGTAGCTCAGAATAGGGATCTCCAACCTTGGCAATTTTAGGACTTGTGGATTTCAACTCCCAGAATTCCTCAGCCAGCATGGGATTCTGGGAGTTGAAACCCACAAGTCCTAAAGTTGTGAAGCTGGCTGAGGAATTCTGGGAGTTGAAGTCCACCAGTTGTAAAGTTGCCAAGGTTGGAGAGCCCTGCTGCAGAGGACCAGCCCTGTCTTCTAGAAAAGCATCATGTCGTCCTTCCTACGGGAGGAAGGCCTCTTCCATGCTATCTAGAGAAGGCATCTTCTAAAGAGGGAGACAGGCTTTCTGATCCAGGAATAGTGCTTTCCACCAAGGACAAATTTATGCAGAATCAATTAGCTTAAACTCACTGAATTAATTCTTTCTTTCCCCTTGATAGCCAAACCCCTGGGTGCACACACAAACATGCAAAGCCAAGGGGAACCTCTAAGAGGAGAGTAGATTCCACAAAGATATGAAAGATGCCCAATTCACCCAACACAAAGGGCCTATTTGTCTCCTGTCTGTGGCTGCAGGTAACTCACAGCAGGAAGAAACAGAAAAACGAGGTAAAGGAAGACACACAACCCTCTACAAAGAAGATTAACGTCTGTCAGCAACAATCTGGCCACAAAATTAAGTGACATACCAGCTCAGGAGGAACTGAGCTTAAAAGATGAGAGGACATGCGTATCTTTATCACACACTGAAAGTCAGAGGGGAAAATGTGGTGAAACTAACATCTTGGCATCGAGGAGAGATTTTAGATGAGGATAAGAAAATTGAGCAGGTAAAAGAGGGGATATCTCTCATCTTGGAAATACAGAAAGGTGCCTTACAGTCCATTTGGAAAAGAGTATTTTTGCTGGGGTCTGTAAAACCTTCTACAATAGACCCTGAATCCCCCAAATGAGCCCGTCAGAGAACAGGCTGGGGTTGAGGGCACCACAGCTGGAAGGACTCCTCAGATTCTGGGACAACCAGGTCAGGACTCTGCTCTGTGACTGTGGGACACCACAGGCTTTAGGGGAGGAGAGGGGCTGGCCAAAAGTAGGTTCAATGAAATACTCAGTAAGAGAAAAAGAGGCAGGAGGGGTCCAGTCCATGTTCTCCCCAACCCCACTTGGCCTAAGAGGCTGGAGGTGGTCTTGAGTCAAATCTCTTGCTCTGCTGAGGCTGGACTTCTTCTCTTAGAGAACAGTGAATCCTTCTCCATCAAGTTCAACTGTTCCTAATCCCATCATCCCTTTCTAAAGCCTCTTGACTCTGAGATTAGCACCCCTAATTTACCAGCCAACTACAACCCACATACATTATTTTCTAAAAACGTCAAGATTTTGCTTTCAGGAGTCAGTCCAAACACCTGATAGTCTCATGGATGATCAATGGGGATGAAAAGGGAGCCATCTCCTCCTGCAATTCAGGGAGCACAATTAAAAGCAGTGAGCCAGGCAGCCATCCAGGAAGGAGAGCAACCGGCACACGGCGGGACACTGTGGCCCAACTTGAGGCAGTTCCCTTTCGTTGCTTTCAGGAAGAGCACCTTGGGCCGGCAGGTATTCCCACATTTGCAATTGCTCCCCGTCATCAAATGAGAACCCCAAGACACCAAAAGACACAAAACATTAATTTAAATTAATGAAGCTCTTTTGCATGGTCAGATGTGAGCATGACGAGAGGAAGGCTGACTTTATGCCCTCCTCTCCCTGGCTTGCCCTTGATCTGCTCCTTGGAGGGGGTGAAGGTCACCTGGAATCAACATCACTGAACAACCCATAGAGTAGGCTAGACCCTATGACTATACAACTGTAGAAATAAATAAGCCGCACAAACAAGGACTCAAGGAATCAGCTTTCTTAAGAGTCTGGAAGGAGAAAATTATAACGAGGCAAAATACTTGACGGTCAACATAAGAAAAAATGATGGTTAAGGCACACAGAGAGGAAAGGTTTTATTATTTCAGTAGACCCAATATTTTTGAATGTTCTCAGAGAAAGCAGAGCATGTACGTTGTAGGACAGGGGTGAGAGCATCATGACAGACAGACAGGAGGCCAAAGACTGCCAGGTGAAGCAAGGTGGAAGCCACACGGGCTGCTTCTGAAGTGAGAAGAGCACAATCTCGCCTCCCGTGCTGGACTCGACCCACAAGTCCACTTCTGGCCATGAGCCCAAGAGGGAAGAAGAAGACAAACCCCTGCAAGAGAAGATCCCGGGGGGACGAGGGAGGTGGCATATGGCTACTCTCAGGTGCTGAGACACCTGTCCTGGAAAAGGCAGGTACGTAGTGGCCAAAGGGTGGCTCAGAATGATGGGTGGGAGGAGTCAGAGTGGGGCTTTAAGGGTGGCAAAGCAGCCATCTTGGGTACAATGGGCTTGCAGCTGGAGAGGGTGAGGTAGTTGCACGAAAACCAAAAATCAAATTAATTGTCTTTAGGAAGAGTGATGCCTGTGGACCAGAGCTGAAAAGGAGAATCGGTTCTCTGTATTTTAAAGAAAGAAAAGCAGAACTCAAGTTGAACTAAAGTCGGTCACATCCACTTGCAGACTACGGTACCCTAAAGGTTTCAGCCCTGTTTGGCTCCCTTGAAGGTGATTCAGAAGTCAAGAGGCCCTTGCAAGGCCAACAGCCCCAACCCTTTCATGTCACATTACCCAGACAAGAAAAAACAAAATAAACCAGGAATAAACAAAGTTGGAAAGAAGCCTCTCCCTCTGTTTCACGGTCCCTCATCTCCAGCCCCCCTCCCTTTAGGTAAAGCCAAACACATCTTTGGGCTTTGACCCGGAGGGCTTGTGAAGGTACTGTACCTGCGGCGATGGTGGTGGAGATGGTGGAGATGGTGGTGATGGTAGAAAGGGAGGTGGTGGGAGGGAGAGTTGTGGGAAGATCTAGATAAAAACACATAAACAAAGAAAAAAAAAAGAAAAAAAGCAAATTAAAAAGAAATGAGCAAAACACAAAAATGGTCAACAAATTAACAAAGAAGCCAAACGAAAAGATGATGGTTAACAGCTTGGCTCAGTCCTGCCGTCACTGATGGTGGCCCCAGGGTGATGCCCCTCTTGCTTGGGGTGGGTGAGATCCAACCACAGTTAGCCTCCTCCTCCCCACCCCTCCCCCCCAGGATAGGGAGCTGGGCGGGTGAATGGAGAGGAGATGGAACAGAAAATTAGTTACAGATGCAAGGCCACACGGAATGGCACGGGGAGGACCCCCCTCCAGAACCCACCAGAGAAAACCCCACTGAAGTTGCATGTTCCCCACAGGAAGGAGAGCTATTTGCACCATTTATGAACCATATTAAATCCTTGTGTGTTTTGGTTTCTTCAGCTGGTGCTTTGACATCTGAAAAAGAGGGGCCAGGCGTGTGTGTGTGTGTGGGGGGGGGTGCGGGCAGAGAAACCCCCGCTGCGTTTAACAGATCAAATATCAACACCAAATAAGTCTGTGCCTCTTCCTCTTTGCTTCCTCCAGAAGCTTCCCCCCTCCATCAAGCCATCCCAGCAGGATATAAAACTACTTCTAAGCCGGTAATAAATACAAAAGGGAACGAGAATGTCACGACTAAATATCAAGTTGGATGCATGGAAGATTTTAGCGAGATTTCTTTTAACATAAAGTCCATGTCTTTGGGACTTATAAATATTCAGACCCAGCCCAGGATTCATGCATTTTTCTTCTGGTTAGTACATTTCATACTCCAATGGGTGAAATAAAGGGGGATTCTCCCCTTTTCCTTTCTGACCACCCCTGGGTGCGACCGTGGAGAGCAGCGCAGCCAAGGACATGGCAGCCAGGTAGCGGGGACAAGACTCCGTCGTCACACTCCATCATGCACAGATGCTGCTGCAGGGCGCGGATGGAGGGTGTGGCCCCCATAGCGCTGCTGAGCCGCCTGGGCGATCTGTTGCAGTGGGGCGTGGAGGCAGGTGGCCCTGCGGGCAGGCGGGGCACAGGGTGGCAGGCAGGGTGGGGGTGGGGTGGTCTTTGGGCAATCAGTTTCTAAAAGGTTCGCCATCACTGGCCTATAATGCCAGCTGCAATCTCTCCTAAGAGCACTCAACGTTTGCAAAGAACTGGTGGCCTCTTGACTTGCTAGAGGGAGGACAGAAGGGAGGAGAGGGAGATGAGATACTGGAGGGAGAGAGAGGAAGCGCCACATATCGCTGCCCAAATGATCAAACTGAATGTGTTAAACACAAGACCCGACTTTGAACTTGGGAATGAATCATCAGTAATGGAGCTTGAAACGATTCAGAGGCTTTTGATTTCAAATTTTATCTTAAGCATGTCAAACTTCTCATCACTGACACATCTACTACTCTTTTATCTTCAAGAGAGCTCTTGGATTTTCTAATTAATAAATCCAAACTTGAATTAAGTGTTTCACCTTTATTGTGTGCTTGGCCCAACTTCTTCAGGAGGGAGTAGATATGGCTGGGATGCGGGGCTGCTGAGGAAGCAACGCTCGGCTACCCAACCCTCCAGAGACCCCTTCAGCAGACGCCAGGCAAGAGAGGCCTTTTGGGCACCGAATTAAAGGACTGGACCATCTGGGAAGGCAATGGCAGCGGAACAAATTGCTTTGTTCCTGGAGTTCAGTTTCAGAGAAGCTACCCGGCTTGATCTGACTCCAGCAATCAGCCTCCAAAGCCTCTGGATGCCCCACAGCGGGGCACAGCACAGGTGGTCCTCTTGTGTTTGATCCTGGATCAAGAAAGAGGCTCTCACTTTATCTATTTCTCCTACGTCCATGAACTCAGCTCCCACACAAATGTGCCAAGATTCATTTTAGAAGATGGCCACATTCGTCCGCAGCAAGATGGTGGCGGTCTCTGAAGCCATGCTGCTGCTCCAGGTCACAGCTCCTTTGCACATAAACAGCATCCGGGTGGTTTGTGGTGGAGGATGAGTTTGGAGACTGCAGTGGGATAGGTGCACCAGGACCAGAGATTCTCTGCCTCCTCCGTGATGAAGGCCACAATTTTCCAGAATGGAAAGGAGGCCAGGAAAATTTACCCCCTGTGTGTGAGTCCAGGGGATAAACACAACACCAGCTTGTTACCTCTCACACGCAACTGGCAGCAGCATAAAAGGTCATAAGGACCTTCCTTGTTCAGTGAACAAGGTTCTCTACAGCCTGTCGCTTGGGGCCATTTTGATCCATGCTCTGATACAGGAGATCATCAAGGAAATCATATCCTCTTGCAAGATTAGGAAAGGGTGTTTTCCTACTCAAAAAAAAGTGAAATATATTTATTCTATACAGCTGGTCAAGCACAGAGAAAGATGAAAGGGAAAAAGTACTGAGATGTCTTGAGGTCCAGGACCTCTGACTTCTCCATGTGAAAACAAATTTGGCCAGAAGCAGCCAACTTGGCCGGAAAGTCTAGAGAACACAACTTCCAGCCAATGCGTCAAGCACCAGTTTGGGGTAGCTGACCTGACCTGTCACTGTTTGGAGAGATCAGGGATGCTGATCACATTCGAATATGCCAGGCCTGTCAACTTCTGCCCAGCTGGCCCTCAACCAGGAAGGGTTCTGCTAAAAAGAGAAGATTTGGGTTTGGAGTCCAAGCTTGACTTCTAGTGAAGGGAGACCAGTGCTGGTCTAGTATGTTTTAGATGCAAGAGAGCAGACCAGGAGACTCTTCTGGAAACTTAAGCAGGGCTCCATCTAGTTACCAATTCCTCTGGGATTCAACAACTGCTTGCCTCATTTTTACATAGGAACCACAGGAAGGATAGCATCTGTTCAGCTCCCGTGAGAGGCATCAACTTGGGCAGGAATAACAATTCCATTTGCCTCTTAAAAGAAGAGGGGGCCCAACTCTGTGAGAAGAATCCCCTCTTCCAATCTGTGCTTCTTCTTGCTCTTCTTAGCCCAACCAGTGTCCACTCCTGAACACTGATTGTGGATCAGCCAGTGCCCTTTGTTTCATTGGGAAAGCTGGAGAACACCAGTAAGCTCAATCATACAGGAAGGAGAGGTGTTTTTGTTTTTGTTTTTTTTAAAAAAACCCACTGTAAAGGTTCCTCAGAGAAACCAGAGGGCAGACTATGTCAAAATGCTGCCAGCTTTCCAAAACGTGGCACCACTAGCCAAGATATCAACCTGTTCACACCTGCAATCAAGTAACTTCTCTCTATAAAGTGGTGTCTCTATGTTTCTCACCCATTTTCTTTAAGCACACACTTATTCTGATTAAAGACAATATTTAATGATTAGCCCTATTTATTCTGGGAGGAAAAAAACTTTGCAATTGGTTGACTGATGGAAGCTTTCTACTTGACCCCTAAGAGGAACAACCTGGGACTCGGCCCTTGGTGCCTTGGCTTGAAGCACAGAGGAGGCTTCAGTGTGAATCAGTACAAAGATAAAATACTTGCAGGGAGCACCGCTGGGGGGCCAGGGCAGGCGTGGGGAGGGAAGAGTTCAAAGGGGGGGGGGAGGAAGGATGCTTGTAATGCCTCCACTCAATTACCTAAGCTTTCATGTTTCCTGCTGAGCTGGCTCTGTCAACTAAATCCCTGAGATTCCATAGTGATATTTCACTGAACGGGACTTCTGACAACAGCCGCTGCCATTCAGGGATGCCATGGCTGCTTTCATTTTGGAGCTTTGGAGTCCATCTGCCCTCTTGGCTGGCTGCCGTGGCTTTCAACCCCTCAAACTCTCAACAGGGTTGAACCCATTTGCAAGCAGATCCCTGGTTCTGTTCAGGGGCTGAGTTTATTGCTGCTGCTGATGCCCAACTTGAAGGCCTGGTCCAAGGAAAGGACGTAGTCTAGCAGGAATTCTGGGAGTTGAAGTCCACAAGTCATAAAATAGCCAAGGTTGCCTACCCCTGCCCTAGACTATGCACCAGTGGCATTCTCAGCTGATGATCTGAGGAGCCCTGGTTAAAACACTAAAACAAAAATCCCCCGTTTTTCTTCACAGTTCACACAGCTCAAATAGAATATGAGTGGGGACGTGGCTGAACTCGTCCAGCCAAAGCATTTTCCCTTCCTGGTTTGGGACTGCTCCTTCCGCAGACAAAATTGTAAGGGCAGGACTGGTCTACTCGGTGCCAGAAGAAGACGACCTCGGAGTCAGGAGGAGGAAGGAAGGAAGGAAGGAATGAGAAGCTAACCAGCTTCGTTCCAGTTATGCTTTCTTTACAGTACGCTCATGCTGGGCCTGGGTCCAAGGAGGGCAGCTGACCAGAGCAAAAGGGGGCTCGTTTGCCGACACCACGCCCCCTCCCCAAAGACCTCGAGAGCAATTCTGCATTAAGGCATCTGGAAGAAAGGTGCGCTGGTCTCACGTACCGTATACATAAAGCGTGTAATCAGAAAAGGCCGTCCCCACTTGATTGGAAGCCTCACAACGGTATGTGCCGTTATCGCTTTTGTTTAGGCTGTCAATGTGGAGGTTTGACCCTGACACCAAAACGTGCTGGGGCATCTCATCGTCGACTCTTAACCACGTCACATCAACAGGCCTGAGAAGAAGACCCAAAGAAGAACATCGTGAAAGACCTTCCCGGGCCACGCGGCTCCCCCATCCCTGCGAGCATAAACTCCAGCCCCAATGAGTCTGTCTGAGAGAAGAAAGAAAGAAAGAAAGAAAGAAAGAAAGAAAGAAAGAAAGAAAGAAAGAAAGAAAGAAAGAAAGTCAAAACTGTCTCCGCCCGAAGGAATCAGCTAATCATAAACAGAAAAGCACACTGGGGGGGGGGGGAGGTTGAAATGATTTCCAGTCCCTGATCTGTCCAAGCCAGAAGCTGAGCATTTTCTTTCAAGTCAGACATAACCCAACCACTACATAAATCAGTGGTAAATCTTATGGCTTTCTGAATTACTCTGGGCACCTGGAATGTAATTGCCAAGATAGCAATCTGTTTCTCTCTTATTCCTTCATAGGAAGAGTAAATATTAACGTTAAGCCACAATGTGTGATGGGTTCCACACAATGAATAAATTAGAATATATCACAGAGAACAGGAAAGACAACACTGCAAAATACAACACTCAAAAGCAAAACTCAGAAGCATGCAACCAAGCCAAGCCAACAGGAGGGGAAATTAAAAAAAGAAATAAATACAAAAGAGAAACGAAGCCGAAAGATTTTACCTAGCGCAATGTGTCTCTTCTGTCCAGTGCACCTTTCCTTGCAAGACAGCTCCACTGAACAGAATCGCTGCGTGTCAGTTTTAGATTTGAATGCATGGTGGAACATAATGGATTTGCTGGTGTGTGTGTATGTGTGTGCGTGTGCACACGAGACTTCTAGCTGAACTGGCCCAACCAGGAACATATCGATTAGAGAGTGAGGTTTTTTAACCTTGGCACCTTTAAAATGTACAGACTTCAAGTCCACACATCTTAAAGCTGCAAAGGGTGAGAAACACTGGATTAGAGATATCTCTGTTCTGGTTAATTCATTTGAGAGACTGAAAAAGGAAGGCTCAGATGCAAAAGCTGTGAGTTGTAAAGAATTAATAGTAAGTAACACCCAGCCTACAAAGAACCCTTTCCTTGCTCAAAATATTTGTCGTTTCTTCTGCACTAATGCTCTGCAAAAAGATTTTATCACATTCCTGTTCAGAAATGGCTCTTAAGAGCCTGGATATAAAAAGCTACTGAAAAACTGCTATAATGCTTCAATTTTTGCAACAGCTTATTAGCATCTTCCATTTAGGGATTTGGGGGCTTAGGGAAATGAAAACCTGACAAATATGAAGTACTTAGTATGGGTGAGAAGGGATCTTTCTCTCCTATAATTCCATGCCTACCATGTTCAAGTAGGTGGCATATCCCAGTCTTTCTGCAGCCCAGCAGAGATCCAGGGTCTTCCGCTCACATCCTGTCTTTCTGGAGACACGCCGGCAGCTTCTCTACTCTACAATGACTGAAGGCCACCAGCTGCCTCAAGTGGGATGGTGGATGGCACCTGCTTCAACCACAGATGCCATTTTGGTACCTCCACTGCCTGATGGCCACAAAGACCAGTGCGAGGAGCAGGATAGAGAAGAGGCCGAGAGACGGGGGGTTCAAGAAGGGACAACTGCCAGAGGGTGGCAAGCCAGAAGGGAGTTTGGCCACACAGCAACTCAAGAGAGGTCCTGCTCTGTCACAGCAAGCCAACCCCCATGTCAGAGCCTCACTTACTCTGGTTTCCCTTTGACTTGGCACAGGAGTTCAAGCAGGTCTCCTTCCCTTGTGAGCGGCTGCGGAGGAGAATTCTGCAAAACTTGTACTTCAGGCTTATCTGCACATCAAAGACACAACACAGACAATGAAAAAGAGAGGAAAAAAAATAAGAATGAATGAACGAATGAATGAATGAATCACCCCATTACAAAAAGACACCAAGCAAATGGCTCATTTGGTTAATTCTTTAAAAAGACAGGTCCTGCAGAAAAAAATTGTCAAGTGCTTACTGCCGCTTGCCGTTTGCCCCTCGACTGGACTTTTTGATCTGCAAATTATCCTGGCATTTCCCCAAATTAAGTTGACTAATAAGCTCCAAACCTCACATGTTGATAAGAAACCTGCACACCAAGGCAGAGGCTCCCCCTGATTCTTGCAAAAAGAAATTTTGTTAAATTAAAGTTTATCTCTGAACTCATTCGAGCTAAAGGAAACTCATTTGCCTTCACGCTGTGGTGAAAAGGCAGATTTGCGGTGTTCAGAATTGATACCTTTTATCATGCATCATATTTTATGGGCCAGCAATCCTTTATGCGGTGGCAAATTAATAGGCTGGGCTCTTGTGGGAGCATTTGACGAGAAGGAGAAGGCTGAGCGACGCTCCGGTTTCTGCAAGAGCCAAGGAAATTCTCAACTCCCCCAAAGCCGCAAGGGGATGAAAGCATTTTACACCCAGGCAGAGAATCTGGGAATCCTTTGGAAAGACCCTGTAGGAGAATAGCAGTTATGGAGACGGTTGCCCTAAACCAAAAACCACAGCACAGATGCAATACCCAACGTCACCAGGACACCTTCAGAGGAAGATCATCTCTTCCTTGCCATGGACATTTTAGGGGAGAGACAAAGACTGGCCAAACCAGGAGGAGGAGTCAAACAGAGAATTAGTCTGGAATCCTTGTGTAGGCACAAAAAGGTAACTGATTCCCCTTGAATGCCATTGAATCTTATCTAGTCTGGCCCAAATAAAAGCCACCAGTCTGGGAAGATTCCTGTGTCATAGGCTTGAGCAATCATGTAGCTAATTGAACTCTTCACGTGTAGATCTGGTTGTTTGCACTGGACACACTGAATCAGCACCTACTGTAATTTTAGGAATGGCCAATAATAAAGAAACATGTTAGATTCTGGTTATTTGTATTCCTTACAAATCCTGGGATACAAGCCAGGTTAGGGACAGACATGTACAGATTAAAAGACAAACACAGAGACATTCACAATTAAATGCAAAACACTTTTAGCGACCACATTTTCTATCCTGGTGGCAGTGTCAATGAAGTTGGATCACTTTGCAAAACCTAAAGACGGAGAGTTGGAGCAGATCCTGGCCCATAATTGATCAGATAAGGAGTCTTCAACTCAATCCTCATAATGAGAGGACGATACTAACATCACAACTGAATTATAACGAAGTGTAAGGTTTCCAATTATCCTATAAGCAAATAGCTTAACAAGGTGTCTTAAGCATCACCATTCGCAAATTCTATAGTGTGACACACACAAGTTTTAAAAAAAGCAAGAGGAGAGGAGAATGTGCTACACCTTAAAAGAGTCACAAATTTATTACTGCATCAGCATCTCATGCCATAAAACTCATTTTCTCTGTAACAGACTCACATCGCCCCTCCTTCCCCTCTGTCAGTGGTTATAATTTGAAAATGCTATTATGAAGTTGACGGTATCATTTAAGATAGATAAGTAAAAGGTAACACAACATAATGCAAAGTAGGCACGTAATGCACATGCACAAATACAACACAACCCACAGCTTTTCCAGAAGCAAGGAAGGGGCTGCTCTTTTGACACTGCTGGAGGGAAAGCGTTGGACTCCACTGACACAACCACCAAAAGTTGTACAACCAGGTCAGAATGAGAGAGTATCTGGACCTCTCATTGTAACATAACCCAAATCTGAAATTCCCATCAGCCCCACTCCCCTCCCCCTTTCACCTGCCCTTGCCCCCTTTTCACCTGGGACTCAGAGTCTCCTACTGGTCCCACTGCAAGTCACACGAAAAAAGTCTTGGAAGGCAGGGGAACCCAGTGTTAGCTCTGAAATACTCAAGGATCCCCTCGTTCTGTTCCAGAAAAGCAGGCACTGATACACTTGGACTGAGAAAGAAAGTCAATTTTTAAGAAAACCCTAAAACCAGAGGAGGAGGAGAGCAAATTGGAGTAAGTGACTCTTTAGACATTTGTGGAAAAAAAAAATGAAGGGAATCAATTAAATAAGTATCAGCTAGGGCAGAGTTTCATGGATAAGAAAAGAAAACTGTGGGAGATCCACGCTGGTTTAATGAGCAATCAGCTCTCCCCCAAAAACAAGAAAGACTGACGAGGAAACCAGGGAGAAATCAGAAATGAACAGGATCTTAAACTACACAGGAAAAGCAGAAAGGCAACTAGCAAAGGAAAAATAAATAAATAAAACAGAGAGGCATGATAATTGTTGCACACTGAGTATCTAGAAAAAAGGATTTTAAATAGGAACAGGAAAAACTGGAGAAAGCTATTTTAATAGACTTGCAAGGATGACATAAGGGAAGAGAGGCTACTGTAGATGGAATTAATGGGAACAGTATAGTTTGGCAATGCTTATTAATGGAAAAAATGGGTCAAGATGCAATTAATAAGGAAAAATGAAGAGCAAAAATACAGTTTAAATAGTAGTATTATTGTACTGTTGATTGACGTTGGGCTATCATTAACCAGTGGGCGTCTGTGGATAGCAGCTGGTATAAATCTAGTAAACCTAATAAATCAATAGTTTTGATTTTGAGATTAAAACCACACACACATTCTACATAATAGGAAGAACAGGAAGGGAAGCATCCAGAGGAAACAGGAGACATCCTGACCTGAAAGGATTTTTTTACAAAAGTGTGGGATCAATAGCAACAAAATCAAAGGGGTTTTTTTCCCCAAAGGGCATAGAACAGAGATAGTAAAGATTAAGCCATCCTCCTCATCCTCCTAGAATAACAGAATTATTAGCATGAAACAAAATCAGAAACTGAAGAATCTCCCAGCATGAAAGGAAGACCACTGAGGAACTCAGAGCTGTAAAAAAATGAGTTTGTGAAAAAGCACAATCAACAACACTGAAAGTGGAGGGTACAGCAAGCAAAACTGAGTATTAGCACAATCTTTTCATGAGAGAAAATCAGTTTTAATGATGCATGTCACAGAATAAAAGAATTGCAGCATTAGAAAAGATTCCAAGGATCCTCTGGTCCAATCCCTGCAACATGGATAAAAACCAAGTCAACCATCCGTGATGTGCAACCTCTTCTGAAAAGCCTTAAGGACGGAGAACCCCAAACCTCCACAGATAGACAGTTCAATTATTGCACAGATCTTACTGACAAAAATATTTTCATTATATTTAAATGAAATCTAGGTATCTGTAATTTGCACTCCTTATTCGTCCTACTTTTGTAACAATGAAAAATAATTCCTCATTATCTTCCCTTTGGCGTCCTCATGAGGACCTGCACCCTGATGATACCCCTTAGGCCCCTTTTCTCCAGAATGAACCTCTCAGTGTCTCCGGCCTTCCTTGTAGGCCACGTCCTCCGCTCCTTGATGCCCTGGTTGCATTTAGCCAGTCAGGCATGGATCCATATTAGTGCTGTGCTATCTAAAACAGACTTTAGCAGTTTGTCAATGAGAATGTCATGTGGAAACTTTGCTGATATTGAGGTAGATTATCCCACTGCCTTCCCCTTTTCCAATAAAGAAGCTCCCTTGTCAAAGAAGGAGACCAGATTTGTCTCACATGGCCTGCTTTTGACAAAACCTTGCTGACTCTCAGCAATAATGGCATTATCTTCAAGATGCTTACAAATGGCCTGCTTTATTATTTGCTCTAACATCTTTCTAGGTATTGATGTTGAGTTCACTGGTTGATAATAACAGGATGCTCTTTCTTTCTTGGAGAGGCGATTGCATTGGCTCTTTCCCAGCTGTCTGGCACATCCCAATTCTCCAGGTTTCCTCAGAGTTAACAGACAAAGGTCCTAAGAGCTCCTCAGTATTCTAGGGTGTATTTCAACAGGGTCTGGAGGAATAAACACTGACCTACTCAAAAAGATCAAAGTCCAGCATGATCCCATGTCTTTGGATCTGTGGTAGTTTCTGATCAAATGCACCACACTGTATCTTGCACTGGAACTGGGGGGCTCCATGGGGGGCTTTGCTCATGTGGGCTCTCTTGTAGTTGGGACACGGAGCAAGTCCAATAACTACAAAATCTCTCCCCATCTATAAAATCAGCTTTCCACAATGTAGGACATTACATTCTGGAACCTCTGTCTCAACCCACAGCTGATCAACTGAACTCACTTGGGCTTTCAACTAGATTTCAGTGAATTAGCCTATTTCTCTTGTCAAAGTCTGAGAACTAGAAAGCTGCTTTTCAACGGGATGGAAATGACACACCTAAATACCTTCATCGGGAAACAGAACAACCCCAAATGAGATGCCCCCACAACTGGAAACATTTGGAGACACATCCAAGGCCAAGTTCACTTTTATGAGTAGGCAACATGTTTTGTAACTCATACACTGCTAGCAAGTGACACCCCACACAGAAGATCAATACATATCCTCTGAAATCTGGACGAAGACTGCATTTATGTCCCAGTGACCTCTGGAAATCCAGCAAACCTACCTTTCTGGGCTCCAAAGGCAGCTTGTTTGCATCTAGACACTGTGTCCAATATTTTCTTCTCCGCAACACTCAGAAGTTATGATACACAGTCACTTAGTAATGATAAACCAGGTTGAAGAAAACATTTGGCTGTTCCCGCTACTTGTGAAACTGAAGCTTGACTGATCCTTCCCTCCTATCTTGATAGCAGAAGCAGCTGAACTCCTAGGCCACAACATGTGTAAGGCATAGCTCTTCCAACCCTCATGGGTGGCAGCCCCAGAGCTGCAAATCATGGAAGAAATGAGGCAGGGAATGATGGGCTAGAGAAGCGATCCAAGCAGGGCAGGAGAACAAGCAAAGCAGCTGGACCTCAACCAGACCAAATGGGTCAATGATGGTGGAAGGGA